CCCACGGCCTTACCCTCCCCAACCTATCGGTATGCTCCTGATCTTAAGCGGAGTATTAAGTACACAACAACAAGAGAGGACTAGCCTTGTGCCATAATGAATCATTCTGATAGTGTTGCTTGGCAACAGTAGGCTAAAAATGTGGTGTTTAAAAAAAGAAGCCAGGTTATTTTAAGGCAGTTTTAACAAGGTTATTTATTAGTTAGCAGAACAACTGTACTGCAGGCTCAAAGCCTCATACTTTGCATGAAATAGCTTCACTCCAAGCAAGGTACAACAAAACTACCACATGTAATAGCTTTTAAGAACCAGTTCTGAAGCAACTGCAGGTATGTGGTCTGTCATGGCTGTTCAGCTGTGTTGCCACATGGTGTTGCTCTTAGCGGACTTACTTTGGGCAGTTCATAGCGCTCTCCGTGCTTGTGGGGGTCATAGCAGGAACTGCCATTAGAGGTAGATATCTTGAGTGGAGTGGGGGTGCGACTCGATAGTGGAGGCTTCTCTGCCCCCACCGAGGTGGAGGACAGGGGTCGGTTGTTGGGCTGGGGAGAGCGTATGTTGCCCGACTGGGTCCGAGGAAGGGAACTGCTCTCAATCCTCTGGTACTCGATGGGAGACTGCAAAGCTGCAGGGAGGTTTAAAGGTCAATAGCCGTCTAGAGTAATGAATATATTGTCACACATAGCCAGGGACAATGACGACGGTTTATATGTGAGCGCAGAGAGGTGAATTTCTGCTGGACTGTCGAGTGGGTTGATCCAACACCCGCATCAAAGTCATAATCAAGACTGTCCTTACTTAGCATCAATCCAGGTGCTTGTATGCATCTTGACATACCAACAGCCTACCTCCCTACCATCACGTACAATACCATTTGCAAAAAGAAACGGCACAGTGCAAATGGTATAAACGTCACATCAGTCTGACATCTACTGAACTGAATGGCAGGTTTACAATATTTGGATACAACTAGACTGCAACTAGATAGAACTAGAATTCAAAACCAAAGAAGTGAGTGAAACGTGTACATTAAAAAACATCGCCGTGCCCTGAAGAACCTACAGCCTCAGCTCAGGAGCACAGCGTGTGTCCACCTACCTGACAGGAAGTTGCTCTGAGCATCCAGGACCTCTTTGATGTTGTGCACCCAGACCTGCTTGATGTCGGGATTAGCAGCCTGCAGGGTGAAGCGCTCTAACGAGCCCCTGCAGGACAGGATGAACTTGCAGGGGTCGTTCTCCACATTCTCATCCATGCTCAGGACACTCACCTACAGAAAAAAAATACAGTTATGCATCAAATCACCACCAATCACTATGTACTCTCAACTCGACACTATTTTAAAAAGCGTTTTCCATACTTGACTAATGATAATTTCCTCTAAAACCGTGTTTCCCAATCCAGTCCTCGGGGTCCCACAGTCAGCCCATGTTTTTGCTCCCCCCGAGCTCCCTGCCAGACATTCCACATCTTTGTTCCTTCCCGTTAAGCAAAAACATGGACTGTCTGTGAGTCCTTGAGCACTGAATTGGGCCACACTACCCTAAAACACTGCCTATCTTAGATATAGTTCTGGTAGCACCCTCTGTTCACTGTTTTTTTTTCAAACCCATTTAAATGAATAATTAGTCCTAACCCAGTGCTTCCCAAACAGATCCTTGGGGATCCACAGACAGTCCGTGTTTTTGCTCCCTCACAGCTGTCTGCGGCTCCCTGAGGACCAAATGGCGAAACTCTGTCTTAATTGAATTGCTAGAAAGTATACATTTATATGTCATATCTATCAACAGTTGTTACTGATGTATTTTTTTTTAATCTATACTACATTGTATGAAATTAATTACAATATATTCGGTATCACATAAATCAATAATATTTTAATTCCATTACAGGTGTGGTTCAAATGACACAGTCAATTTGACAGAAAATCTACAGAGCTTAATTGCAATGTGTAATTAACTGAGCGGACCAGGGCCAAGAAACTCTGTGTTATAGAAAAAACAAGTAAACATTCACTCAGACTGCTGCATCAGAAAGTTCATGTGACTTCATCTGGCACCCGGCGTCTCTCACCTTGATGCTCTTCTTGAACTGGTATCCCGGCGTGGACGAGCCCTTGCGGAGCAACTCACTGAAGATGACGATCTGCTCGAAGAGGAAGACCCTGCGCTCCTTGCTCCGAGACATGACGCCTGAGCTCTGCTCAGTGACGAAGAAGGTGTCCTGCAGGAGCAACTTGCCTTGGCTGGTCAGCTTCCCCTGAAGAGTGCAGCACAAAATGGGTTGGTACGTGCAGCTCTTACACATGCAGCTGTTCTCTTCATTTGCTGCATGGTTCCTACTTCTTCACCAAGCACTTTTCACAAGACACAAGCCCTTCCTATGTTTTGGTCCAGCCCGGGCTCCTTAGCCACCATGCTAAATAAAACACTCATTGTCTGCTAGAGCCCATCAAATAAACGTGGTCAGTCCTCTCTCCATCTGTCGCCGTGATTAAAAACTGTAAGACACAGTTGCTCGTCATGCAGTGTCAAAGAAACACTGTGTCTGCCCTATCAACAGTGTGTAATAAAGCACTCACATTCAACAATCCTTCATTCTCTCAACACGGCTGATTAAATCTCCCACCAGTCCTCTTAATGCTGCTGATTGCACCGTACAGTAATAAGGCAGGTCAGGTTTTTGCTTGTTGTCTCTCAACTCTATGGACTCAATTACGGCATCAGCTCCATCTTGAAACATGAATCAAACTAACAGGCTATTTGTACTGTCAATCCTACAACAACTAATCCTTGCTGGCTTTTCCAATTATATCATGGACTATGCCAATTCCAAAAATCTAGAAATATTTAAAACAATGTTTCACTTCTAGCTGTTTATAGTTGGTTTATTGTTACTTTTTGTCAGTAATAAAGACCAAAACCCAATCCAATGTAATGGGCTAATCAACCTAGTGTAAAGCTATTTTTTTTTCTCCATCAAGTGAAGAAAAATGATTTCAGCTTTAGACCATAAGCTAAATGACACAGATAATTAGCAAGGCCAAAAACTCTGCACCCATAGCCCACTAACTCAAGTGTTTGCAAGTTTTCTTATTAAACAGACCCCCAAATAACACGCATCACAGGTACGGGCCCCTTACCACTAATGCATGATGACATAAGTAACTAAGAATTTAGGGGGGGGGACTTTAGTATTTCCTGCTAATTTCTTTGCTCCGACTAAAATACTTCTTGCATTAACTGAAGGATTATTATTTCGTCAAAATAACTCATTGAAGCGAATCGCATTTCAGTTAATATTGACCAAGGTAATTTTCGTTCCATTTTTTAAAATTAGTTTTTAATACGATTTTTCAATTTTATTTCCTTTTCAGTTTTGTTTCAGTTTAGTTTTATTAGCTTTTGACCATTTTTATTACTGTCTGCATTTTTACTGAGCTTCATAATTTAGTTTTAATTTTAGCTTTAGTTTCAGAAGCCCTCGGCGGATCTTGCCAACCGCGCTGGCAGGGTGATGTTGGTGATGAATCACACGGTCCAGATTACGTTGTGCTTCACTCCGGATGTTAATTGAGTACCCCTTGCCCTACAGCATAACCATAAATATGTATATATATGTACCATTTTTCTCATTGGTGTTGTACTAATGTCCCTCTATTCAAGGAGCAGACGTAACTGCCGGCAGTAGAAAGGCCGGCAAAACACACAAATTGCGGGTAAATATTTGGTGGTTTACCCTTTACAGACAGGTGCATATTAACTCTTATGGTTGCCAGCAATGAAACTTGCCGATCTTACCAGTGCAGAGCAGCAAAACGGCCAGATTTAATAATGAATTATAAACAAGTTGGACTGGTACTTTGTGACTTCTTCTATGTAGTGAATGAGCCAACAGAATCCCTCGTGTTCCACTATGCGAAATGGTTGATTTTCCAATGCAGTTATCTTCATTATTGTAATGGTTATGACCTTAAGCTTGAATACTGATAAAGTTTAAATATTGGCCAATACTGACACATCAGACCAATGCAGATAACTTTAACGAACTTTAACGAATACTGGCCAATGTCGATATTTTAACCGATATTTTGTGTATGTTTAAGTTTTTGTCATTTTCAGTGGCGTTACCCATCCCAAATCTAATCTTTTCACCAGAAACACAGTTTAATCTTGTGAGGACGTGTGTAATTTGGCTTTGTCAGACACTTATCACAGCATTGATTATTTAGAGGAGGGATGTCTGGTAGCTTGTAGCCTATAGGCAGGTATTTAAACTCATAAATAGATATTAAAAATAGAAATGACAAATTTCCATTCGTACTCATTTTAATTTTAATTTTAATTTTCAAGTTAGTTTTAATTTTTAGGAGCCGGGTGCACTGCATCAGTTCTGATCCCCACGAACCCTAACCCCACTGGCTCTCCTGTGGTTTGGACCAGGCCAACGGGACGCCCACGTAACGCCAGACAGACAGGCACCTCCGGGGGCTGGGACTGGACCACATGTCTGCCTGAAGAGCTCCCCAACATGACCGGACCTCAGTTAGTTTTGGAGTTTGTTCTAATCTCAGCTTTGTTTTCATGTCTCACTAGCACTTTTAATTTCACTTTAATTTTGACAAAATGCTTTTATTATCATTTTCATTTCAGTGTTGATTAACAACTTTGACCTCATTTGAATTCAGCCACTCTTCCTGCTAACCCCAGAGAACAGCATGCACAGCTCTGATTGAAAACAGCGCCCTCTTCAGTTACCTCATAGCCTTGCAGCCTGCCGAGATTCATCATGTCATTGCAACGCTTGGGCACCAGGAACATCAGGTCCACAGCTTTCTGTAAATGAACATTTTAAAAGCAGGAGAATCAGTAAAAGCATTCAGTGAATATTAAAAGAAAGAACCACTCAATAATCTGCTGACTTTTTTTAATGCACAGAAATACTATGTGAGAATGATTTGAGTTGGTCCCACAATCAAGGGTACAGTAATGATAATGGATGCAGTACACATCTTACCTGAATGGTTTGACAGTCTACACCTGCCTTCATGCAGTACTTCAAGAAGTCCTTGAAAAAAGAATATATTTAATTTAGCTTTCATTCAAAAGACTTTCAGAATCTCTTGTGAGTTCTGACAGCCGTGGTGAAAGAGACAGGTGTCCCACGGCTCTGTCAAGCAATCTGACAATTACCTTGAGAAGCAGCTGATATTTGGTTATTCTCTGGATTGGTTTTATGAGGAAATCACTAATGGACAGCCTTGAGTTAATTTCCTGTTGCACTACCTGTAAAACAAACCAAGTGTATCTCAGATGTGCTCCGTCCTCTCTAACCCATATGTTAAAATATGAAGTTTATTAAAATATGGTCTGTCGTAGAATCTACAGAACCGTTTTATTTTCCTTTATATTAGGAGACAGTGACATTGTGAAACACGAGATTGCATTCTGGAGCTGAGGGAGGTGAGGCTTGATGTTTACCTCAAAGTATGAATCGTACTCCGCCACAACATACTCGGACCTGGGCTTGTTCTGGCAGTAGATCACGTACATGTGTAAACGTCTCTCCTGTGACGACAGACAGATAAGCGCGTAAAAGCAAAAAGAGACTTATGTACAACTTCACCCCAACTTCACACCGAACAAAATATCTAAATGTGTTATTTGTCAATTTAAATAGGCAGAAACAAAAACATTGTTTATGGAGTATGTTGATCCAGGTGCACATACATGTTTTATGAACAGCTCTGCTAGCAGATCAGGGTTCTGCTGACATTTCTCCAGCTCACCAAGAAAAAAGCTGCAAGATACAAAACAGATCACTACAGATTATCATTTACATTTAATATTATTACAAATTTGTATCTTTAATCATTTTTTATTAGCAGATTGGCTAGCGTGCTGTGTTTGTCTGCTTCACATCTGAGAGAGCCTGTTTTGCAGCGTATTGATAGGAAAATCTGTTTTTCTCTCAGGCCAACAAGGAAAACCCAAACGGAGACATACTCTCTGTGCCAGTCGTAAATCTGGTGAATATTCCCGAAAACAATCTTGTCTTTCCCTTTCATGTCTTCAGGAATGCCTTTATCCTCTATCCTCTTCATAAACCCCTGGTGGGAGAAACACCAAACAATAATAAAATAATCCAGGTGGACGTGGCCGAGTGCAGAGCTCACAGCTTATTGCTGAAGCGCAAGGCGTCCGGGGTGCTGGGTGATTACAAAGAGCAGCATCTGCATCGTTTTGCCCGTATTCTGTCTGTTTCTGTCGGCTAGCCACCACTCACCTCCACCACGATTCCCAAGTCCTTCACGTAATCCTTCTCAGTCTGGATGAGCTCATTAAGGACAAACCTGCAAGCCAGAGATTACAGAAACCTGACTTACAAATGCGCCACCGTGACATTCACATTTGTAACAGAGATGTGTGCAGTGAACCTGCATTTATTGAACAACGCATTTGGGATTTAACAAGTAATAACTGAATATGTAATAATGTACAGAACATCAAAGACTGACACACAGCAGGATTTTCATTTCAGATTTTGCTTTGAACCGTTTCTTTACCCAGCTTTCTAGATATATAATACATATAATAAATACAAGGAAAAATTATTTATGCATATTTCCACCAAATTTTTGAGAAATGTGTCAATTTTTCCTTGGTGATAATTGATAAAATATATTAGTTTGAGAAACCCTAAATCAGAGTACCATGCACGGACGAATACTGCATATGTGCTGCATAAGTAAACTCAGCAAGCTAATGAATTACCATGAAACCCTCACTGGATGGGGTTCCAGTGACTGTGGAGACTCAGACAAAATTCAATAGGCCCCCACAGAAACACATTATTGGTGAACAGATTCAGCACCCCTGCTTAAGAAGCCCCCCCCCCCGACCCCCTAATGGCCCATACATGCGTCCTCTGAGGGCCTTGGCCTTCTGCTCCATCTCCAGGTCCCGGGGCTGCGGGGGCGGCTCGGGGGGATCCATAGAGCTGAACCCTGGGTAGGAGCCTGGCTCCAGGGTCTGTCGGGGGAGAGAGGTCAGAGGTCAGGGTGGCAGGTTCACGTGAGGTTCCGGGGTTCATGGAGACTAAAGGACTGTTAGGGGCTTGTTTCTGCTCTACTGTGCCATGCTCAAGGGCTCTTTACTGCGGGGGTGGGGTCTGTGCATTTCTAAAGGGCAAAGTGAGACTTTTTTGTTTTATTTGGAGCTGGCTCCTCCTGCGGAGAGCTGAAAGAGAGTCGTTTAGTGGCATGAGCACGACAGAAAGGCGGGCAAAGAGCTGAGGCACACCTCTCACTAAAAGACACTCGCCCATATCTATGTGCTAACAAGAGACACATTTTCATCCACAGTGATTTAAATAGGGCCAGGGGCATGGCTCTCGGGGGCGTGGCTCTTGGTGGGCGTGGCTCTTGGGGGGCGTGGCTTTCTGCGAGACTATCCATTGAGAAAAGCTGCCCCAGAGGTCGTCTTCGAGAAAAAGTGGCCCTACGAGTTTCTGGGATGGTATCACCGTGCCCCATGAGGCGAATGCAGGGGTATTGGAATGCAGAACAGGATCACACCCTCAGTATCACTTCAAAACAATACTACCACCGCAATGCTGAAACCCAAAGTGCCCAGAAATGGCCTGAGGTATTTCATTCTTTCAACATGCGTCTTGTGGAGGAAAACTCTTATAATTACCACAGAAAACTTCAGTCATGTTTGCTACAGAACAATAATATTGCCCTAATCCAATTCACATGGATAGGAAGAGGGGAAGCAGCTATAAAAGGTCTGTTTGAAACCTTTCTGCTCACTTGTTCTCTTTGAAACCCGGTCTATCGCATCTGGATCTGCTTCACCACACTTACCATCTTAGTTTTGACCAATTTTTCTATTGCACTGACAAGCTCGGCAGCACTGGGGACTTCGGCAGCGACCTGACGGGCAGCGAGCAAAGACGAGGACTGCAAGGCACAGTTTGATAGGACGAAGGGCGCATTAGCAGAGGCACAGGGGGGAGAAGAGATACAAGTGGTTATTACAAGCACTCAGGAAAGAAAGTCAGGAAACATTAGTGGCAACCTTCGGGGACGGGTGTGGGGGAGAGAGGCAGTTTGGGCGCCATCAGCAGGTTGGTATGCAGCATTACTACTTCCTGGACAGTCTGCTCTAGAGATCCACAAAACGGGGCCATGCTGTCACTAATGTAATGTTACCGCAGCTTCTGCAGGCCTTACTGGAAGCGTTTACATTTTCACAGGCAAATGTAGCTTGACCGCAGCTCTCACTTTTCACAGTGCTGCTAAAATTCAACATGAATAAGAGTGGAGACTGACTGCATTTCCAGTGCGGTGTAACGCTGCCTTTTTTTCGTAAATGTTTCAATGCCTCGCTGGTCTACAGCTCTGTCATGCCCATGAAAGTGTCGCTTCGCAGGGTTGTTTGCTTTATTTAATTTAGCTGCAAAGTTTTCTAAGAGATAGAGACTCTAGAACTGCCAGGGATATTTCCAGAAGTGTAGAGGGAGACTAGGTCTGCAAAGGCACCATCGCTGAGTCAGACTTCTGTGGGCAAGTCTTCCAGCTGAAATAAGACCAGGGCAGAGACAGGATAGAGACACAGGGACGACGCAGAAGGCAGGGGATGTGAGATGGAGACAGGACGGGCTGGAGATGACGGCGGAGTGGGGACAGAACCGGCGGGCTGGTCGCTGTCAGCTCTGTCACTGTCACTATCGGTGAAAAAGAGGGAGTTTCTGCGGGGGGGGGGGCTCCTTGCCGACATTTTGAGGTGGGGGGGGTCTGCCGTGCCCTGTGGGTTATCCAATGCAGTCTGAGCAGCCATTAGAGGCTCTAAAGACCAGGTTAGGTCACTCATTATATCATGAAATATTTTAGTTAGCAAGTGATGTCACCGTGCACCTGCAGCCCTCATCTAGGACCCCAGTTGCAGGGGACTAGAAGCGTTCCTCCTACTCCTCGCCCCCCCCCCCACCACATTCCTGCTCCTACCTTCTCATCCTGGGCTGATGGGTCCTTGATGATCTCCATGGGGGGCGGCAGAGGCGTGTGCGACTCGTCCTCGGGCTCCTCCTCGCCGCCGCTCTGCATTCCAGAGGAGGACTTGGACAGGCTGCCCTCCTTCCTCCCCCGCTGTGAAGGACGTGGCAGTTAATGCGGCCCATTGTGAGGACTCGGCCGGCGGCCCCGGCCAGGTCACCACGTCGGCTCCCGCCGTATCACAGAATCTCTTTGTAAAGCCAATAACCGCGGCAGGAAATTCTGAATGCCGAACAAGTCCGGCCGGGACGTCTCCAAAACATCGCTCCAGCTTCAGCTGTTCCCTTTGGAACATTTTAAAGTCTGCAGATATATTTCACTCCACGAACAACGCGTGCCAGCTAGGAAGAACTTAGTTGGCAATAGAATGACAATAAAAAAAAAAGACCAGTTACTTCTAGAAGGAAACCCGCTTGACAAAACATCTGTCACTATGGACCACTTATACAATTAGAGGTTATTAAGTAATGTATAAGTACGCGCTGAGGCTTACATTCACAATGGCTAACCAGATGTTTCTGCTCTTAGGCTGTGTACAAATAAATAAACATGACACTTGTCATGTTACAGAAACTCTGAACACCCTAGATTCTTTGAGGGCAATGCATCCTAGCAGCGCTTTGGCAGAGTGGGTAACTGAGGGCTAATTAACTGCCGACACATTTTTTAGCACTTTGTCGTCTCTGAAGAAGACAAGGATGGAAGTGAGTCCAATTCTGCGACACGCAATTCCAGTGTTCAAATTCTAAAATTGCAGCTCCAGGTCAAATAAATTCTGTCAACTCATGAAATTATAAGGGGGCGTGGACATGTCGGGGCAGGGTGAAGTTCTGTGACAAGAACTTTCAGTCACATCACCTGTTCCTTACTGCCAATACCATAATAGTATAGTATTAGTAAAGCATAGTAGTATAGTATTAATATAGTAATAGTATTTTCTCTTGGTGCCAGAAAACACACCAACACTAAAGTCTGCACTCTGCCGTAGTCTTTTCTGCAACCTGGCATCACTTTAGTTTGTCTCTCGTGTCTTTTGTTTTTGTTCCTTCCACTCTTTTGCCAAACTCCCCACCCCTGTACCCAATTCCCTCCCCAGGTTCCTCTTTCAGGTGCTTTTGTTCCCCATGCTGCCCAGAGCAAGTCTTACAATTAAATAATCACTTCTTCATGTGGAAACTGTCGTTCTTAAGTAGGACAGAGCAGCTGCTCTCTGCAGGTTAATCAAAGGCAGGTGCAGACCCACCTTATTTAATACAAAAGGAACACTTGTTAGCAAATCGACCATAAGTGCCACGGTTTGCAAAAAAACGGTGTGTGACTGGCACAGATTGCAGGGGATAAGTAACCCACAGCTGAAATCTGGACAGAATTCCTTAATTGCTCTGTTCCTCCACCCGGTAAGAAGCGGAATTGGGATGTGATGTCGTGTGATGTTACAACCACGACTCACGTCAATTCACATGGTGGATTTTGCTTTTTGATAAGTACAAGGTCATTGAGATAAAACTTCTGGAGTAAATCGACCGTTCCTGGTGCGTGGAATGAGGTCAATTGGGGAATCAGCACGACTGGAGAGGGTCTCACTCTAGGATGGAGGACCCGACGTGACATAAGTGGCAGTTGTGTTTTGGGTAAATGGTAGATGCAACTGTCTTCAGTGGATATGGGCCCTGAGGGCTTTCACTTCCTATGGGCAGAACCAGGTAAAGCACGGATAACACATGCAAATTGCATTGTGGGAAACACACTGTCAAGACTAGCTAACATAATGCATGGGTACCTCGTCGGCGCTCTCGTCCTGTTGCACAGCATCGGTGTCACCAAACTTGGGAGGCCCCAAGTCGATGCTCTTGCGGCCGTCTCTCTTCTTGCCCTTGCTGGGCACCTTCTTGACGGCGTTGTCGGCCTTGCCGTGGCTCAGCCGTCGCACGGGGCTGGTGAGCCATTTCTTCAGCGTGTTGCCCGAGCGCTTAGGGCCCGGCGAGCTGGTCTGGATGGAGCTCATGGAGGTCTGTGGCTGAAGGGTGGCCACTGACTCCGTCTTCGTTTCCTGACCACCATAGTTCTCTGCAAGGCAAACCAAAAAAACACATTAAACATCATCTATCACCCATCCATCTTCCAGGAGCTTATACCAGGAAGAATAGAGCACTAGGCAGGAGAAGATCCTGGCTAGAGTTGAAGTCCATCACAGTTTTTAAATTTTTTGTTTTTTAATTTAGTAATGCCAATTCACAGGATGCATGTCTTCGGATGATGAGAAGAATCACAACAGAATTGACTAAGTCAAGTTACATTTTTGGCAGTTTATCAATTGCAAATGATGTGTCTACTTTTCTTTCAAATTAAGTAATACAGATTATTATTATTTAGTTTGTCAAAATCAAGCATTGGGCTGCTAACAGCTACTGCCATGTCACAAGAATGTGTTTTAAAATTCTACCAGGAAATGAAACTCCTAGCTTCTGAATCAACAGGTTACATCTTTGTGTACGGCCTTGTGGAGAGCACCTATCGACGCAGAAACACTTATATGGTTTTTCTATTAGTCCAGACCCAATCTGCAGATGAAATAGAGCTTCTGAACCGTGCTTGCCTACCATGAAACGATAATAAAGTTCAAATTCTCACTGAGGTGCAGGATGTCTGCATAGTCCCGATACTGAAAAAAAAAACAATAGAGGGAATACGGGACCAAACAATAACGTCAAATCCAACCTTATTGTGAAGAATAACATTACAATGTGACCCCTCCAACATCCTCTCATCCCTTTCCTGTCTTGAGTATGTATAAGAGAGTGAACTCACTAGCAAAACATACTCAATGCTGGAGAACATTGCGTACAAAGTACAAAAACAGAGCAGGTAGATTGTTATCTTGTATTGTCTGGGAACGCTGAGCTCTGGTACATTTTATAGTTGATCTCAAAAAAGTCTGCTATGGTGGGTTGTGGTGTGGAGTAGCTGACCACTCTGAATGACCGTGGGATAGATAGGACTGATCTCCCAAGGAATGGGATAGTTCCAAGCCTCCATCATGTCTACGGACTATAGCGCTAAGAAACAGCCAATTAACGATTAGCAGGACCTGGAGTGTGAGTGATGTCCCTGCAGGGGCTGTGAGCCACTCATGAGGCCAAACCCCCAGGACTTTACATGCCACTGATCTTACCACCATCTTCTGCACCAGAGGCAGAAGTGCCTCGAGTCTGTCACATTCATAGATGTTAAAATCATCTGAAAAGCCATCTGTGAGAAAAATAAAATTAGAAAGGCCATCTGCTTTGCACATTAATTACACGACACTGGTGCCTCTTCAATAATTTCCTCGCTCTATTCGAGACTAATTACTCCTTTCCAAGCAAGTAATATGAGCAGACTGTCTGCTCTTTAAGTAATTTTAACTTCAAGCTGTTTAATGACTGAATTTGATACCAGATGTTAACCCTAATATCCTTATTTACCTTTGTCAGCAGTATTAAAAATGTAAATGTAAGATGGAAGTCTCTTCCCAGGAAGGACACCTCAGGTTCCCTCATCCTTCCACAAGCCACCCAGATAACTTAATCTAAACCATAATAAGTCGGAGTCTTGGTTAACTGGATTTCTTACTTGAGGAATCTAAAGGCACAGGGTCTATGATAGATCTCACGGTAGTATGACAGATCGATGAATACCACCCCTGTTAGTCAAGCTCCCACTGGCTCAGAAATCCCTTAGAAAAAATACAGAGTGAGTTCTGATAGTGCACCTGGGCCATGTCAAACTCCCCACTGATGAGCACCCAAAACATACATCCAGGCACTGGCACCTTGATCTCGTGGTGGATGCCTTGTATCGCGTGGGAGACGACAGCATTGCCAAGCCGTTATCAATTTATGGACTGTCTTTCCCCATGGAGAAAGTAAACACTCCTGCTGCAGGAATGATGTTTTCCCTCAATGGGTAAAGTGCACTGAAGTGACAGGGAAATATGCAATGAAACGACGGCCAGCTACTGTGACATTTGCTCCATGTCTGCTGAGGAGATCTGCAATTGCTATGCGAGCATGAAGACAATGAAACAACCCAAGGGATAGCATACATGCTGCTCTTACGCTAGGAATGATGGAATAATAGATCTTTGAGGTTCTACATATGGTAGAGTCTGAGCCTCAAAGACCATTACAACATATAAATATAGACTGAAGGACATGTCAACTTGCTGAAATATTCCTTGACTTTTGAAGACCAAGCTGGTCTAGTTGGCTTCATAATGCTGGAAGACAGGAGACGTGTAAATTAAAAGTAAGAAGGTTCTCCCATTATTTTACAGGCCTCATAAATGGCTACCCGTTACATCCGAGCAACATCACAGCCTCAGATCATATACTCACCAGACCATATAGTGCAAAGAGCTAAAGCATTCCTGTGGTTTAACATGGAGCATCACTGTGAAGCTAAACCAAGAAACAAACTGAAAAAACTGAAAAGTCATTCACACACACACACACACACACACACACACACAGGTTTGCAATTATATATATATATATATATATATATATATATATAAAACTAATGATTATATATACGACAAATGAAAAATTTTCAGCGGCTACAGCGAAAGAAGCATCAGTTTTTCTGGCTTCACCTTCAGAAAAACCCCAAACATAAATCCAAAAGTGTGCAGGGCAGGCTGATTGGCCTGTCTAAATTGGCCCTGTAGTTGTGTGCATGTGTGTGTGGCTGAGAGAGTGTGTGTGCCCCGTGGTGTGTTGGCACCTGACCAGGGTTGGTTCCAGCCTGCGACCGGTGCTCCCGGGATAAGGGGATTAAGCGGTTATGATAATGGATGGGTGGGTGTTTCCCAGTATAGCGGCTTAAAAAAATCACGATGGTTAAATCCTGCTGTTTTATACCAGAAATGTACACAAACTGAGTGGTCTTAACTGGCCAATAACATTCAAAGCCAGTTCAAGAAATTCTACATTATGCTGGAGTGGAGTGCCAGAAACCGCGTCAGGAAAGCTGGAGGAAAAAACAACTACCAATCACCGATTACGCAACTAGCAGGAAACAATTTATTCAGTTGAAATATTCATTTGGCAGAAAGGTGTTCCCGCACTGCATTGTCTGTCTCATTATCCTTGACTATCCTTGATTACTCCAGAAAACCAGTTTAGGAGCTGTAAGTGAGAATGGACTCAATCGCCTTAAAGAATGGTTTTCAGAGCCAGAGCAGGCATCTCTGAGAAAACCTCCCTATTTACCAAGCACCAAGTACAGTGGAGGGTGTAAAGAATTTTAGCTCGTATCTTACTTTCAGTTAACAGCATACAGGAAACCTCCAGTGAGGATTTATCTCCTTCATACGGTATATGCTATTAAACCACACGCGTACAATTTCCTGAAAATATTCCACTCTGTCATCAGTAAGCTCCAGGATTCGCATTTTGTAAGGTATCATAAATATTTTGTGTTGTAAAACAAGTCCACTCCCTTTATTACAGCTTAAAGCTTTTGTTTTTTTAATAGCATGTACTGTATGTATTATAGCACTGTAAGCGGCAAAACATGCAGCGACACAGGTTCTTACAACACATCAGTTCCCGTAAGAATTATGTAGGGAGATTGACTGATATTCAACAGACCTTACATGGCAGCTGTCACGTGTAGCAAAGTCTGTAGAGCATGTAGATACAAAACGTCCAACCCGTAAGGCAACACTCCAAGCAAGACAGATTCTTTCCTTCAGCACCATGTGAGAGATCCCACATGCAGGAGAAATTAAAACACACCCTGTCTGTCAGATAAAGGAACCTGACCAACCTGCTATCTCACAAGTGCCTCCACAATTCGAAACTCTAGGTCTCACCTGCCTAAATTTCGATTTAATCGTCTTACAAATACTGACTTTATCTTTCTGTTTCCCAGCTGTAACTGAGTTCCATTCATTCCGTGAAATTACAGTATTGTACAGGTTTCACTGTCGGCTATTTTCTCATTCCATTGCTGACGAGGCAACAATCTTAACATGCCAGACATGCATCTATCAGCAAGCCTGAGGAGTTTTTATCTGTCATTCTTGTAACAAGGTGGACTCAAAATGTGATAGAAGCAAGACGTCTGGTTAATCGTTTGCTGACTTGGTGATATGGTCAAGTTCTTGTTATTTGTCTTATTGGTCAAGTGAAACAGCTAAGAAAAAACTGCTTATAAAGAGGATGAACTGACTCAATTGTTGGCTTACATTCATAGTTTTTTCAATTTCCTTCATGCAGGCCTGGTCACACGAGCAGTTAAACTTGGTTATACAAACAGCTGAAAAGCTGGCAAATACCTCAGCTTCTTCCACTTGTAACAGTGCGATACAGCGTAACTGATTTCAAAGGCGGCGCACTCTATCCCGTCACATCAGGGACAGCACGACTCGGAATTTTTAAAAAATATACACTTCCCAAGCTGAAGACTGCTTTATGAATGCATCACTTGTCTCTGAGAAAATTCCCTCAGGACCGTAGCTGCGTATGAGCGGTAGATTTGTTCTTCATCTTGGTTTTGCGCTCAGGCTGGGAGGAGGGGATGGTCTTATCACTGATCACAGAGAGCAGCCTCCTGAGTTAATGGATAATGAACCAGTCATTCAGGGCCCCATAGTGGAGCGCTACCATGTCTCAATCATCTCCCCCGGCTGAAAGGAGAATTTGGATGAACAGACGGAGCGAGAAAGAAGTCCCGACATGAACCATAACTAAAGTGTCCAACTATAGACCTGCGCATGTTCATTTGCAATGTCTCTCAAAGTCCACAGGGGAGTAGAAATCACAAGGAACAAAACACTCACTGAGATCACATGTTTTTAAAGAGCTCTATATTTCATTGTAGCTGTAGTCACTTACAACCAGCAGCAGAACCCTTAAATATGAATATATGAACCCCTACGGACATAATGCGGCATCCCTGACCCACATTTTCTAACCTGCCGTGTGCCGAGATTCGCAGTGGGATTTACAACATGCCATGTTGTTCATAAAAGACCTCCAAGTCATTAGAAATTGCAGTTTAGCCCCATGGCATGAATTAGT